AGGGCACCGTCATGTTGCTGTCGTGGGGGGCAAAGACTTCACCTGGGTAGATCTCTGTGTCCTTGTGATCAGCTCTGCATGTGGCATACACCTCAAGCTGGTTCCACACCTTCCAGTAGGTCTCCTCCTGTACCAGGTTCTCATCCATGGGCTTGTTGCTGAAGAACCACGCCTGCTGGTGCTGGCTAAACCACAGGAAGGCCATCTTTTTGGGGCTGCTCATCTTGCCCACATCCTCGCTCTTCCAGCAAGCTGCCCCATTCAAAAGGCACACCTTCCAGTACTTGCCCTTGAGGTTGTCCATCCTTGTGTTGGTCCAGGGTTTCAAACATGCACTGATTACAACATCTCCCTCGCAAAACAAATAACAAACATGTTTGATTGTCAAAAGCAAAGGTGTGGTAATTGACACATCTCTTGACTGTTTGTTCCACTGTTGTTGCAGAAGAGTTTGGGGTTCATGATGTTGGTAAACAAAATGACCATTCCACTAGGAATTGGCAAGACTCATCTCCAAGACCTTGGGGTCGTCCTGCGCACATGGTCCAGGTGAGGTCTGCATGTCTTGCTGCACCTTCTCAACCTCCTTGTCCTTCTTCACACCCGGCTCCATCTCTTCTTCCACCACTTTGTCCTTCTCATTCTCACCTTTTTTTTCTTCTTCAACTTCCACCTCCTCCAACTCTTCCACATTCACACAAGCCTTGACATCCTTGTGCTGGGTCTTGGCCTCCTTCTGCTGGGTGGGAGGAGGCACATCAGGTGGACGGGGCCTCTTCTTGCATTGTGGTGGCGGTGGTGGCATTGGCAAGTTATAGCTGGAGTGCTTGTCCACCACCACACTCGTGTCCAGCATGATGCACTGGCATGTCGCCCACATGTGCTGCGCAGGCTTCTCCATCAGCATCTTCTCCATCATCTTCTCAACCGGCATGCTGGCCATGGCTGACAGCTGTGCAAAGTTTCACAAGCTTGCCATGTGCATGTATGTGTTTGCAACATTGCACAAACTTCACACGTTGCATGGGTGCTTGTGAAGCTGCCAGCTGGCCATGTGTGATGCTATTGCATGCTGAGCTTGATCTGTCCAAAACAGCAACCATGAATTGAGTTGTCGTCACATGTCCATGGGTGTTTGCAAAGACCATGCTTGAATGCAGCCATGCAACAGTTGACATGTGACAAGTGCTGTTCTGCAAGCAAATGCATGTGTGCAATTGTGGTGCCAACCAGCTTAGTTGAATTGGATCAAACTGCTCTCACACTGATTGGCTGCATGCAGGATTCCAACTCTGCATGATGAGACATTTTTCATTTGACAATGTCACCAGCAATCCAGGCAGAAGCAAAGTCATGATTGACCTGCTATTTTACTCAGAGGCTTCCTCTGCAGGGCACTCAGCTTTACCCTTTTTGGTGCACTGCCTTTTGCAGCCTGCAAGCTGCTCAAACTGTACACCCTTGCTTTGCAAGAAATCTGCAAACACGGTGATGTTTCTTTCATCAAGGAGGATTTGCAAATCATCAGTGGATTTCTTAGGCCACTTCACAGAGACAGTAACACCTTCTACTGTAATATCAAGCTTGGATGGGGTCTCAAGCAGTTTAGCTCGCTTTCTGGGAGGGCCACTGAATCAAACAGTTTCTTATCAGGTTTCCCTTGGTGCTTGATGTCATTCACAATCTCACTCCTCTTCTCCAAGAGCAACTGAATGCCAGGACAACTCTTCATGTTTGGGTGAGCAGGCACATCTGATTGACATAGCAGCTTGCAAAGCCCATAGTTAGTACAAGAGATCTGCAGCCACAGTTGGTCATCGCTGTCTTGATGGACCAAGCTCTCAGGTGCAGTCCAGCTTTGAGAACCAAGCTTGATCACATGCAGCGTGCTCAGGGTAGCCATGACTGTGTCCAGCACACAAAGTCTAGCAGCACAATGATATCATATGCATATGGCTGCAGCAAGGCAACTTTCACATTGTTCATGTCATGGTTCACAATGAGCTGGTACTTGCATGAGTTGATTGTAGAATAACACACAAACATGCAAGCTGGTGACAGCAAGGCTTGGTGTTTTTTCCACTGCAATATAGCCACACCTTCTTCCTGTGTCTCTGTCTAGAGCCTGCAGCACCCTCATGGCACAAGTCAGCAAACAAGAAACAGAACTAATTGTTGAGCATGTCATACAGCCAAGCATTGCTTAACATATCTAGCCTTGGGCCATGCATGGGTGACTCATGAAGTCTTTTGCTTCTTTGCAGGCTGCCCCTTCTCTAACTTCAAGGCAATCATATCATGTTTCAAAATTGGATCAGTGTTGGTGAAGCACTCCACCTCATGGTCCTTGAACTTGATCATTTTCTTCTCCATTTGACCAAATTTCCCAGTGGGGTCTTCTTTGACAAGCCAATATGGGGCTAGTACACCACTGTAGGAATCATCCTTGCATTTCACTCCTTTGGGTGGCAAAATGAACCAAATGGAACCATTTTTTGCTTTCAGCTGGGCGCACTCTTTGGACGAAGGGCGTTCTTTGACAATGTTCCCAACTTTGTCTGTAGCTGGCAGCAAGGTCAGGCCACCTTTCTTGATGTTCTCACCTGCAAACATTGCCATCTTGGGCATGTCTTGGAATAGCACCATGGTCTCATCAGTGTCATGCTCATTGTAATTGTCATGGAGCCAGAGCCACATTGCTGCTTTGGCAGCTTCATCCTCGCATGTAGATGATGGAAACAACGTAGCAGCAATCTGAGGGTCCAAGATGTGAGGGGATGATGTCTTTGTGATTTTCAACTTCTCATGAATCTCCTCAGGACGAACGTTCAGGGCGCACACCTGGCCGGACAAGTGGTGTGTGAATTTGAGTTCCATGCCTTGGTCACTGCTTGCCACACATACCCAAATCTTGTCAGGGAAGTCCTTGTGAATATAGTGCTTTCCTGTGGCAAGCTCCATGGTTTTTGATGCAAGGAAGTACGGGTTCTTGGCATCCTTCAGGGCCACTGCATGAGAATCATCTGGTTTTGAGCTGCTTGATGGTGCTTCCACTGCAGCTTCGGCTTGGCTTTGCAAGTCCTGCTTGAACATGCTCTTGATCTCATCCAAAGTGTAGACAGCCTTCTCCCTTCCCGACTTCTCTTTTTGAAGCAACAACAGTGATGACCTGATCATCATTCTTCCAAATGCCTTGAAGTTCTCATTTTTGGACTTGCTGGATTCATGCCATGCAGCTTCAAGGGCTTCCTCAACCTGGTTGATCTTGTCACTCATTTTCTTGCTTTTGAGTTTCTCAATGTCAGATTTGGTTACCAGCCTTGCATGCCCATCAATGACCCTGCTAGGTGGTGCTGTCAAATTTGTTGCAATCATGCCAATTCTCACCATTGAAAACACTGCTGATGTGGGTCTCTGTCACAGAGACCATGAATTCCTGGCCCAATGCCAATGACTCCCCGAACTCCTTGGTGAAGCTTGACAGCCAGTGAATAAGCGGTGCTCCTTCACCTCCTACAGGGACACAAGGGACAAGCATGTGTAAAGACCAACCCCATTTGCAAATTGCAGTGCCATGCTGAATGATTTTCATGTGGCGCAAATCAAGATGCAAGCCCAGCCTGAATACAATTTGACAAATCCCCCAATGTGCTTGGCATATGATTTGATTTGGCCTCCATTGCAAGTGGCAACAGCCACATCCTCCCAGTTGAAAGGAACAGAGTTCTGAATCTTGAAGGTGGCAGCCTCCGCAACAGAGCAAGCAAGTTCAAGCTCACTTTGACACTCGAACACCTCATTGGCAAGGTTCAAAGAGCTTTGGATAAGTGCTGCAAGCATAGGGTAGGTGTCTTCCAAATAAGATGGTAGCACAACCCACTCCCAACCTTGTTGGGCCATGGTTTGCAGCTGGCTGTCATGCCTCCACATATGAAGTGACAAATGGCCTGTGGAATCCCCCACCTCCTTTTGGTTTGTCTTGCAACCAGCAATGAGGCTCTTGATGAATTGGCATGTGTGAGAAGAACTCAAAGTCATGAATCTCTCTGTGCCGCTCACAGGACTCATGAGCCCATTTGCACTTGACACCAACTTCTCGTTGAATGACATTTGCTCAGCCCGTTTTGCAGCATGTGAAGACACCTCCATTGCAAACGAGTTTGTGAGTAATGACATATCGGCCCCAGCTCTCAAAATTGCAGCGCCTTTGCGATGCATATTGTATGGCTGCACACCTGTGGTGCCCCGGTTTTGAGGGTGCACAATGAAATTGGTACAGGGGCATGTTGTAGTGTATGCAACACCTGCATCAAGAAGAGTTGCCCTGAGCTTTTGCACCTTTGCAAGAGGCCCAATCTCATCATCAGCCAGCAAGGCATCCACCTTGTCTTTCACATTTCTTGTCAACATCCTGCGCACACTCGATGATAACAATTCGCTTGGGCAAAGCAGCTGCGACACGAGCAACATGGAGCACTCAAGAAAGCACATCCTGGTGACATTGACAACATAGTGGATTGGATTTGAGAGCACAAGTGGCTTGCCATCATTGCAATGTCAAAGCATGCAAGCGATGTTCTTGATTGTGTTGGAGCAAGCATGCAAGGTCTACAAGTTGATTGCATGTGCAGTCAGTCATGGTGGCATGCTGATGTGAGACAAGCAAGCATGAAAAAAACTGGTGGTGCATGAGCAATATTTCAAGCAATCCAAAGAAGTATAAGTGTTTAGCAAGTTGGCTAAGTGGTTAGCTAACCACATGCTAAACAGGGCTTCAAATTTAGCTAAACTGTTAACATTCAAGTACAACTACTGCTAACTTCTATAGAACTTGCTAGCACATATCTTTTTTTTTGCTAAGCCCTACTATGTTCTACACTGGTTAGTAGAAGTTGCTAGCACTTTGTAGGATTTGCAACTAGGTTGTAACTAGGTTACAAAAAGATAGCAACGTGTTACTAAAACAGATAACCAGTATTATCTTCTAACAATTTCGCGGCTCATCCAAGCTCCCCATCGCTCTCCGTCGCTCCCCGTCGCTCTCCGTCGGTCCACGTCTCTCCGTCGGTCCCCGTCGCTCCCCGTCTCCCGTCGCTCCCCGTCGCTCCCCGTCGCTCTCCGTCGCTCCCTGTCGCTCCCCGTCGCTGCCCGTCGCTCTCCGTCGCTCCCCGGCTCTCCGTCGGTCCCCGTCGCTCCCCGTCTCCCTCCCTGCCCGTCGCTCCCCGTCGCTCCCCGTCGCTCTCCGTCGCTCCCCGTCGCTCCCCGTCGCTCCCCGTCGCTCTCCGTCGCTCCCCGTCGCGGGTCCCCGTCGCTCCCCGTCGCTCTCCGTCGCTCCCCGTCGCTCCCCGTCGCTCTCCGTCGCTCCCCGTCGCGGGTCCCCGTCGCTCCCCGTCGCTCTCCGTCGGTCCCCGTCGCTCCCCGTCTCCCTGCTCCCCGTCTCCCTCCCTGCCCGTCGCTCCCCGCTCCCCGTCGCTCTCCGTCGCTCCCCGTCGCTCCCCGTCTCCCGTCACTCCCCGTCGCTCCCCGTCGCGTCGCTCCCCGTCGCTCCCCGTCGCTCTCCGTCGCTCCCCATCGCTCCCCGTCGCTCCCCGTCGCTCTCCGTCGGTCCCCGTCGCGGGTCCACGTCGCTCCCGGTCCCCGTCGCTCCCCGTTTCCTTTCCTGCCCGTCGCTCCCCGTCGCTCCCCGACGCACTCCGTCGCTCCCCGTCGCTCTCCGTCGCTCCACGTCGCGGGTCCCCGTCGCTCCCCGTCGCTCTCCGTCGCTCCCCGTTGCTCCCCGTCTCCCTCCCTGCCCGTCGCTCCCCGTCGCTCCCCGTCGCTCCCCGTCGCTCCCCGTTGCTCCCCGTCGCTCCCCGTCGCTCTCCGTCGGTCCCCGTCGCTCCCCGTCTCCCTCCCTGCCCGTCGCTCCCCGTCGCTCCCCGTCGCACCCCGCCGCACCCCGCCGCTCCCCGTCTCCCTCCCTGCCCGTCGCTCCCCGTCGCTCCCCGTCGCTCTCCGTCGCTCCCCGTCACTCCCCGTCTCGGCGCTCCCCGTCTCCCTCCCTGCCCGTCGCTCCTCGTTGCTCCCCGTCGCTCCCCGTCGCTCTTCGTCGCTCTCCGTCGCTCCCCGTCGCTCTCCGTCGCTCCCCGTCTCTCGCTCCCTGTCGCTCCCCGTCGCTCCCCGTCGCTCCCCGTCGCCCGTCGCTCCCCGTCGCGCCCCGCTTCTCCCCGTCTGCCTCCCTGCTTGCGCTTCCCGTGGCTCCCCGTCGCTCCTCGTCGCTCCCCGTCTCCCTCCCGGCCCGTCGCTCCCCGTAGCTGCCCGTCGCTGCCCGTCGCTCCCCGTCGCTGCCCGTCGCTGCCCGTCGCTGCCCGGTGGATTTGCGTGTTTTGACGAAATGAAAGCTGACGCGGAGCAGACTCGTGACGCCACAGGCCCGCAGTGAACTTGATGGTGTGGGGGGAGGGTCCCGTGTAAGAGTGACACGCAACTAGCTTCCAACACCCACTTCATGCGGATTCCAACTTACACACCGCAAGATCCCAACACCAGCTTCCAGGATTCCAACTCCCAAATTCCAACTCCACCCCCACCCCATGTTTTCTTTTGGAGTTTCATGTCAATCTGCAGGGTGTAAGGCACAGATTGCCTGGCCTGAATATGTGGACGCCTCCAGCTTGCAGCTCTCGCCCCAGCCAGCCTGTCCGAGCGCAAGCACCGTGCTAGGGGGATGCAACTGCTTTAAGGTCGAACACGGCAAAACTACATGTATTACATAGACATATCAATCATAACGCATACAAACCGAGAATTGTTAGCAGCTTCTGCTGCTTTCAGCTGGGGAAGGAAAAAGTACAGAGCTGTTTTCTCTGCATTTTCTAGCATCTGCGTGGCATCTTGTGGTGCGGACTGGCAAACCTTGAGAACCGGCATTGTTCCAACGATCAGCGCCACCAGCTTCGTCCCGCAGGTTATCCCAGCCTAAACCACCCCCAATCCACATATCGACCGGCAAAGCTTCAGCTAGCCTCACTTGAAACCTGCGCTGCAAGTGGACTCCCGGCCGTCTTGCAGTGATGACTGAAGGGAATACCGAGCCAATGATGCTACATTGACGTTGCCCTTCCCTTCTCCACCTTGCACCATGCCTGGTTCATGGCCCTCACGTCCACCACGTATGTTGTGCCAGGCCTCAGGACGAGCACTACGCGTTTATTTCGTTGGCAGCTTGCACTGCCTACCTGAGATTTGGCCCAGCGATGCCTTTTTGTATATCTCGGGCACCTGCAAGGCCTGCTCATGATTCACGCTGCTAGGCTACTTGTGAGGTTCCGCGGAAACTGCTGGCGTGTTGCCTGGCCCCCCGCAGACCGAAAGAGCCACACAACCCAAGAAGTTGCAGCACAACACAAACACTGCATAACACTGCATGCCTGCTGTTGGCCAAAGGGCATGGTTGCTACGTTTGAGCAACCGCCGTATCCTCAACAAACATCGTTCATGCACTCCCCAGTGGTTTGGATTGTTTTGCTATGTCGCCGATGCCCGCAAGCACAAGAGACATCTGGGGCCCGTGGCAGCAAACCCTGCAGCTGCACGAAGTGGCCGCAGGTACTTTGTCTGCACAAGGCCTCAGACAGTGACGAACACAAGGCTCGGCGCCCTTGGCTTGCCTGCAACTCAAATCAAAGGCTGCGTGAAACCATGAATGAGCCGAGTGCCATTTCGGCCCCCGTAACTGGATTCCCTCGAAAATCGTCGACCTTTTGAAACGCACGAAAACACATGCTGCGAAGTTACTACTACGGCCTTTCAATGGTACCCTCATCTACAACGTCCATCCGCTTGAACAGAGAACATGATTGTCAACCTAGCATGCAACATGTTGTTAAACACCCAACCTTTTGAGGTTTGGGACTGCTGCCTGTTGATTGCTTGCTTGCTTGCTTGAATGATTGAATTGAATATGGTGGTAGTCGTCGTCGTCGTCGCCATCGTCGTCCTTAAATGTTTCACTTTCTTTCTTTCTTTCTTTCTTTCTTTCTTGCTTTCTTTCTTTCTTTGGCCGGGCCCTACCGTAAAAAACAAAAAAACAGCTCGTTCGAGTGTGCCAGCAGGGTTTGCGCGACTTCTTCTGTGGAGGCGGGTTTTTGGACCGCCACGGACCAAATACGCGGTGAAGCGCATGGAGAAGAGAGTGAGTAACCTGCTTTACGCCCTGCTCAAAATGGATAGACGGATAGACCGCCGGACATTTTAACTGCACCCCGCCCCCAAACGTGACCAACTCCATGCAGGCAAGTGGCCGCAGCGCCCTCCGCCGGCTGGACCGAAACCTCAGCGACGGCCCAAGACTCGTCAGTGGCTCTGCTTGGCCAAAAGCTGACCAAGCCATTGGAGCAAGGAGAACATATTCTGGAAAAACACGAGGGGGACTAAAAACAGACTGAAACGGATTCAGTTCAAAGCGTGGACTGCAAGCTGCGGAAGTACATCAGCCAAAGGATGGGCCAGCATGAATTCACTCAGCCTCGGCAAATGCCAAGGGGGGGCACGTGTGACATTGGTCCCTCTGGCGACCCTGAAGCCCAAGTTCTCAACTTTGGAGTCGCTGCAAGGTGGCGTTGCGAGGGCGCACATTCTCTTGGCAGCCCTGGCCCCTGCCCTTCTGCAAATCCTTGGGTATGCCTCCACGAAGGTCACAACCACGAGATTCGCGAGATGGGGACTACGCCAGAGCGCTGACTCCCTCGTTTTGGCCCTGACATGCCCTGACAACTAGGCGGCACACATCGACACATCTGTCCCATGATGTCCCATGTTCAACCGAGAAAGGGCCCCCATGAGTAAACACTCCAAGACATCTATGAGAGTGAGAGGTCAAGGCCGATGGGCTCCGCGCAACTGAGGTTGTAAAGTCAGGGGCGCCTCTGCAAGCTGTATAAGACAAGGGCTCAGCTGCATGAGCTATGACATGCCACGACCAAACCAGCCGATTCGCTGAGACTCCAACTGCGTAGTTGCTGGTGCTCGGCCCCAAGGGCTCACCTCGGGTCTCAGTCACCCCCATGGCGCGCTGAGCCATTTGCCCAGCCACAGCTTCTTCCACCAAGACCGAAGGCGAAGGCCGAAAATAAGAAGAAGCAGAAGAAGAATAATAATTGCATTGGATTTCACACCAGCAACTATACCGCTGTTGGTGGATTTCAACCTTGGGTGAACGGGCGGCCCAATCATATTGGGGGCTCTTTGCGAACATGTAGTAGTGGCATTTGGCAAAGTAGGTGAAGCAGCAGTGGACGGCAGCCCTTCAAATACCAAGTTCAACAAGCGGCGCCTGTCTTCTCATTCGCATCAGCCCCTGGGTCAGGATTCAACTTTGATCGCTGGTCTCTGGACCACTTTAGACGTTTTCTGAATCATCCAAAAAACGAAGGTGCGCTGGAAGACTTGACCGATATATAGCCGAATGCACTGACCCGCCCGCTGTCCGCCAAACCTCCCTGCAGCCGGCTTCCAACCTGGACTTTGCAACTCAATTCCCTACCCCCAAACACGTGCTTTCTGAGATCTCCCTAAGGTGGACCTGCCGCCATGCCCAAAACAGCCGAAGGCAGCACACCGGCGCTCCGGAAGCTGGGCGCCTGGCTCCAGTTCAGAGTGAACCTTAGCGTAAGAGTCAAAACTCCTCCAATTGACAAGGACCCAACCGGCGAGAGAGCCATGTTCCAGCGCTATTTCAGACTTCCAGACGGCTACCCTGAAATTCGGCGCAATGTTTTGTGCATGTGCTCCCGTTAAGCTACTAAGCTAGTAAATGGGACTGCTGCACGCAAGAAACAGTGCAAAACAAGAGTAACTTGTACTTGCTGATATCTTCAATCTGGAATTGTCGACCACAAGGCCGAAGCCCAAACCAACCCCGCAGCATACTCTCTAATCAAAGGCCCCCCCCCAAAAAAAGAGGCTCACTCAACTAGGGAACCACCCTTAATGAGCATGGTCCTCTGGATGAATCAACACGGCCTTTTGTATTTTGACATCGCCTTCACTTTTCTCCCCCTGGCAACATGGGTGCCCTGCCCCGTGGTCGAGACCTCCGTGAGGTGCGGCAGGCGGATCTGGCCTGGCCTCGGCTCCCGACTGGGAAATTGAGGCCCTTTTGTTTCCAAAAAAGGATAAGGGATTCAAGCTTAGAGACCACCATCCCCAAGCAGGAACCAAGTATCCAAAATCAGGATTGAGGATTCCCTTGCGGACAGCCATTGCAAACATCCCTCCACCCCACATGGTGAGTCACGGGGGCTTCAGGCATGGCCTCCCTGGGCGTTTGTCCCAAACCTGCGACACCCTCTACTGAGCAAATTGAAATGCAGCCTGAATTCTGGATTTTTCACAGAGGCACCTCAGCGGCGACCAGTCAACCAAGCATTTTGTTGATCCTGAGTAATTAGCGCAAGTCCCGACTCTAAGATGCCCCTCGCAACAAGAATCCGAGTGAAAAACGGATTTCGGTCATGTAACGCATGTGTACCTTAGCCGTGCATCCGAACCGAAGGGCGGAGAGATCACGTCCAGCCGTAGGCCCAGCTGTGCCAGCTGCTGCTCACTTTCCCCCAGGATGTCCCAGGTGGCCCATCCTCATGCAAGACTCTTGGCTACTCCGCAAGTGAACATCGAAATGGCTATCATTTAGGGTCCCCTCTGGGGTTCTGAAACAAATGCCAGTGCGATACCTTTGGATGTATAAAAAATACAGGTAGCATGACACGTTCTCTTAAAACGGAACGAGGCCTCCTTCATCAACCAACAGCTTGCACTGGGTCTTGAAGCCGTGCTTGATTTTTGCTGCAGGGCTGCCCCCAACCCATAATGAGCAGTTTGGCAGCAAGTTGTTCTTCTGAAGCATATGTTGCTAGCAGAGTGCACGGTACATATGTTGTACGTCAAATCAACTTGAGTGTTAGTTTCTTTGCTTGGATCCCGCCCGCTCAAAATGGATTTGAGAAATGAGCTTGTCCGGAAAATCTCCTTTTGGGTCAGTCTGAAGGTGACGCTGGGGGCCCCTTGGCCTTTGTTGGCTGTTGAAGATCCCTAGGAGCAAAGGTCCCCGCCTGCAAATTAACGTGGAACCCACCAAGTGGGTCGGAGTAGCCTATGAGGTGCTTACAAACCGTGATTCTCAGCATTGCTCGCCTCTTCTGACATGGGAACGGTTTTTCTTGAAGCAACCTGTGGCAATCAAGAACATGTTCACATTCTCAAGATTCCCAAGGAACACGTTTATCATAGTGATTCATGGCCTTGCCCGAGGAGCTGCAGTACAAATTCTGTTCCCGCAGCGGAACCGGCCGATAGCCCAGCAGCACCTGCGACCCAAAAAAACATGCCGCCGAATGCCTCCGGATTTTCGGGGTGTCTTGGTTGCCCAGCGGCCTGGCAAACCCTTTTTACATTTTTTGTGGGCACCATGGGCACCCGGCCACAAAGACAGGGAAAAAGGGTGCCACCGAACAAGTGGAGTACCAATGTGAAACCAAAGGGGGCGCATCGTTATCCTGCGATTGCAGGAAGCGGATCTTCGACTCCACAATGGAGTCATTTGAGAAAACACAAGAGAAGTACCTTGCAAGGTACTGACAAGCGTTGCCGAGCTGCAGTGTTTGCAGCAACAAGTATCTGCGCTTTTCTGCTGTTCAGGCTCTCATGGAGCTCTCCATGTTAGCTCTCATGACATGATGGCATGATGCTTTGCTGAGCGCGAGTTGCAGTACATGTGTGACAGTCTGTGACTACGAGGCTTTGCTTGACGCATTCCGAAGAGAAATGCCTCTGGAGCATTGAGGCGCTCGATGCCAGATTTGTTGCGGTGGGGGAGGGGAGCTGGCCCTGTGGCTTCGAACATCGCAGTGTGGTCATGACCGGAACTCGGATTGCGGTTTCCTCAAGTTAGAACCTGCACCTAACTTGTTAACTTGCTAGCTTCCCCCCCAACCGGTGCGGTTTTAAAGGATTTAATGGTTTCTTGATCCTGATTTATCTTTGCTGATCCTGAAATATATTATTTTGATGCACACTGCTGTACAAGCATTTTGTCTTGCCATTAGAGGTGGTGTCGCTCTGCTTGTGGACCTTGGCCTGCTGGCTGAATCACATGGTGCGCAGCTGGACCTCCTTTGGGTTTCAGCTGAGGGGGGGGGGAGGAAAGGGGGGGGGGGACAAAACACCACACACACACACAAAATGCGAGTGCTATTCTACACCTGGCAAGCACACAATCCAGGCCCTGCCACACGCAGCCCAAACTCCCACCGTCTCTTCTCTCAGCAGCGAGCTCCGGCAGCACCTTAGACTTCGCCGCTGCCTAGTGGCCCTACCGGAAAGACTTCTGCGATTTTAGGTGGCTGACGAAAGCCGCTTTCAAATGGCATACGCCTGACTGTCCACACTGTGCGCTGGCAGTTGGCAATGACTTGGTCCCTGAAAGTCCACGTCGCATGCAGCAGGATCAGCATGGGAATCGATGAGCACATCGGACACTAATGGGTGCATGCCCATGTGTCTGTGTTCATGCTACAAGTATGATCGGCAGTCAAGCGTGTACATCGCTTGCTGCAATGTGCCTATGTGCCATGAGGAACCTCACAACACACCGAAACTTGTTGAGGCCGCCAATCCGGAAGAGAGGAATCGTAGTTTGCAACGTGGATCAGATGGCATCCTTGAAAAGTTTTCATTTCAAGCATGTTTCGGCCCCAGCATCGTGCATTCCACTTCCAATGTTCTTGGCAATGACATGTCTGCCTGAGAAGCAAAACCAATTCGGTCGGGAGGCCATACGTATTGTTAACCCACGTGCTTGCAACCAACACGGCTTCAAAGATTTTGCGCACGGCAAAGTGCACGCAACGCGCCACGAAAGCAGCAAGCCGTTCAACCAGTTCCTGGACGAATTACGGAAGGCTGCGATTGAATACAATTCGGTAATGTAAAGTGTACAAGTCAGGAAGTGAACAAACTAAATAAGGTCTTGCCTTGCATGGCCCGACCCCCATGTTTTAGAAGCTTGCTGCCAGGCCGCCACAAGAACAGCACAAAGTGCGAGTCCAAGCAATCCTTGGCAAAGGCATGCCGGGCCATGCACGTGAAGCAACTAACCAAACACAAAGCATGCAAGGACAACCCCCTCCCCACCAGGCCAACAACAAAGGCTGCATCTAGCTGCCGGCAGCTACCCAACCTTTCTTGAAGACGACCATTTTACTTGTCCCATCCTTGTTCATCCGAACAGGTCAAGAACATTCTCTCAGGCTTTTGCGGGATGAGCAATCATTGGCCCAAAAGAGCAACAACCGTGCCATTGTTCTGTGGGTGTCGTTCAGCACATGACCACATGCCTTGCAGGAACAACTTGCAAACCATTTCAGTTTCGAGGGAAACTCACATCCCTCGCTATCTAAAACAAGTCAGATCATTCCCCCGAATATTTGGAGCACGTTGTTGCGCCACTTCCTGCTGTACACTGGACTGCTGCTTGAACAAACTGGGCTGAAGCTTGGACATGGCCATGGCGGCACCCTGCCCAAGTCCATTGGACTTCTGATGGCGGCCCTCATTTGCGCACGAGTTTGCTTTCAAACCGCCTATGGTAAGAACAGTTCACGACTCGCCTCCATGTGTTTTGGGTTCGAGTATACACTGTGCACAAAAAATGCTTCACAACTGGATAACACAATACAAAGAACCAACAATCACATACTGCTTGGCCCCCTTGTTCATAGGCAAGCATCCGCATGCATCTCCAGCTTCTCGCCAAATTGCACCAGTTCAGCGCCCTCGTAGGCAGTAAACCTAGCTGCATGCCCACATGACAGCGAAACCTTGTATCAGCGGATGCCTTCAGGGAGCAAACCATGCTCTCCAGCTGCACAGAACAGGATTGTGGGAACTGCCAAATTCTGATATGCTAATGGCTGGTATCACAGTGGGAACTAACCCCACAACCCTGCCAGTTTGCCAAGACAAAAGCTGCATGGAAGCGCCTAGCATGCGCTTCGTTTTGGCTCTAGGCTTCACAAACCCGACCAAAGTACCCCTCCCCCGATTATTGGAAACTCTCGGGGTTTGCAGAATTGGGATGGCTCTGGACTACATCACAAAAACACCTTCTGGATTCTGGTTTGTGAATTGGAAGTAGGCTGCACGGCGATCCAGAAAGGGTTCCTAGAAACCCGAAAGGCCAAAATACCCCCGGTCAGCTTCCATATTAAGAGGGTTTAAAGCTTACCGGTCGAAGCATTTTTATAATGCAACCATGAACCATGGACTGCTGCAAACAAAAACCCATTGAACACGAACCATGAACATGAATCATTGGTTTACAATACTCACCATTCTCATGAAACACAGACTGATTTAAGTAATTTAAATTGACATGAATGAACCATGAACATGAACCATTCAGTTACAATAATTCCTCACAATGCACCACAAATGTCACAAAAGGATTATTTACAATCCACTTGTATTGACCGAACCGCTAAGTCTCCAAGCTCCGTACTGCGAAGACTTTGACAGCTGCGGCTGCGAGGCCAAGTGCTCGCCGGTGGGCCTGGGGAATCCACGAGGGCGAAGATCTGAGCAGCGCTGGATTATGTGCCCGGCCCCCCTGGGTACATGTATATGCATATGGGAAAGATATATACTGTTTATATATATATATATAAAATAGATACAAATATAATGTTATATGCTTTCCCATTTTCCCAGCACAAAGCTGGGAGCTGTATGAGGAGGCCCCGAGCTTATGGATGTGGCCCCTCCAGGGGCAGAACCAGGGGAGTCGGAAGGGCGCCTTCTTAGAAGAGGAGTTGCCTCTTGGGTTGTTTGTGGGGCCAAACCCATTCGGCGAAGTCCTTGCACATGCGAAGGCCAAAGGCCAAAGCCGCTAAGAAGGGCCCAATGACTTTTTGTAATGGAGAGCTTCCCACCTCTCTATTCTGAGGAAGTGGATGGATGCATCGTACTAAACTGTAAGTGCGACATAGTGCGACGCTGACCAGGGCTTGTTGTTTTGCCAACGGCTCGCGCCGTGCTCTTGAGGAGCAGGGGGCGAGACGCAGTGAAGGAACATGGAGCATCATGGAGTGCACGCGCATGTGCGCCACCGACGGGCACGCTGCATGCAGCTCTGTCTCCGCCCCGTCATGAAGGGCCAGCAGCGTGGCCACGATGCCCACGTCTGTGTCAACTGCCTGCGCCATAAAAAAGGGCAAGCAGTAGCCATGGCACGCGTGGTCCCGCTACGCGGTGGTTTTTTGTTTGTTCTTCTTTTCACGCTGACTTCGAGCTCGCAGTGCCCGGAAAAAACATGAGACCGCCGTCTCTCTCTCTCTCTCTCTCTCTCTCTCTCTCGCTTTGTTGCTGCCCGCTGACGGCGCGGTCTCATGCCAATAACTTCGTCTTCCTCATAGACCAGCCGGACTTTCAAGACGAGGTGTTGCCGCGCATGCCGCCCGAGCACCCGGGAGAGAGGGGTCTTCCACGTTTCAAGCGCGTACCCGCCTTCCCGCCCGCAGCCTCAGATGTCCAATCGGTGCCTGGCCCGTGCCAGGCGCCTCACTTATCCCCCGTTCCGCTGGTATCCTCCGTCCGCCCGCGCCGGTGCCTTCACTCGGCCTTCGTTGGCACAACGGTGGTCTGGAGCCTGCTTTTCGCCCCAACCTACCTGCGCCAGCGACTCCCGCCCGGCCACTTCTCCCTGCACGTATGCCTTCCCGCGCGCGTTTCCCCAGCCTGGCGTCTTCCGGCTCTCCACCGCCCCTGTTAGCCCCGCGCTTCAAGGCGGCAACTACACGCGCGCTTCCGCTGTCAACAGCGACCTTTCCGGCACCCACCACGCACTTCCTTGCTTCGTATTGCGCCCGTACGTCGCAGGGGCTGCTTGCCGTGCCCCGCCCCACACCGAGTCTGCATCTTCCGTGGCCGAAGCCCGACACACTGCGCTTGCTGCGCTGCGCTCCGAGTTCGTGAGCATTGTGCACGACCTTGGGCCTGCCTCGGCGCTCTGGGTCCAAACGCACGCTTCACCATCTGCGGATCTGCTCATCCCTCGTGCCATCGGACGCTTCGCGCCATCTACGCTGCGCGCGTGGAGCCGACGGTGCCGCTTCGCCGCTCAGCGCAGCAAGACGCCGTTCGCTCCGGCCGACGCTATTCTGCCCCTGAAGCCAGCTCTCAAGGTTTCGCGGTTAACCATTCCGCGCTTTTGTCATGGATGGCCTGCATCGCCGGGCTGCCGGCGCTTGCCGCTGTCTTGCCATTCCTGTGTGCTCCGCCTTCCTCACACCTTCCGCGCCGGCTGAACACCGCGAGGCTTTGCCCTTCTCTGTCAGCTTCGTTGCCTGGTTGGAGCGCCGAAATTCTTCAGATCGGCGCGTTTATTTGGGCCTCGCTCCGCTGGTCGGACGGGCTTTGGTCCTCCCCTGCCCGCTTGATCCTTCAACCGCACGCGGCTGCATTGACCGCTGCTGCCGTGCGCACCAAGTCTTCTCTGTCCGGCATGCCCTGGGGCTGCGTTTTGTCTGGCCTGACTGGCGCCTCGTCTGAAAGCTGGGGGGCCCGCGTCTTCTCCGTCTTACAAGACGCCCTCGCTGCCACCGCACGAGCCAGCCGCGCCGCGTGATCGACTTTCTGCAGGCTGTCCTCTCCCCATTCTCTCGGCCCCGTTCCGTCGCCCTGACACAGTACCGTGGCTCCGCACCCTGCTTCACGCTCACTGGGCCGCGCACTCCGCAGTGCCTCCTCCGCTGTCTCTCGCGTCCTACAGCGTCCACTCCGCCAAGGCCACTGTGCTGGTTAGCCGCGCCTGCATGCTTGACATGTCCTTGGATCATGACACCACACCCTGTCTGTCCGGGCTGCCAGCCGCTTTGCACCGCGCACGTGCGCCGCGTGCCTGCCTGCTCTCAGCCAGTTCCGCCCGTCCGCCGCGCCGGCTGCCCGGACTTTTGCCCATCTGCGAAAATAGTGCCGCGTTGCAACGGACTAGTCCTTTGCCAAACGGTCTTGTGCATGCACTGGGCTGTTTGGCTTGGGATCGCAACGGCCAACTGCAGCTCCGCAGTTCCTGGCTCCGCTGCAGCCACGTAGGCAGCTCGTGCTTCTGGAGGATGAAGAGGTTGGGGTAGGGCCATGTGGACGGACGGGGTCCGTTTGCGAACAGCAGACCAGTCTAAACGGAAAGGAGACAGCCACGTTCCAACCGTCACCTGTGGTCCAGGGGCCACGACGGGCGGAGCGCGGACTGAGGCGGGATGCTCTGGCCGGATCCCACGTCAGCGCCTCATTGGGCGGCGCCGTGGCTTCTCGGCGCGGGGGATCTTTCTCCTGGGCGGACTGGCCAGCTCTCTCGGGACGGAGAAACGGACGGAGAGTCGGACAGCCCCGGCTCTTTGTCCGCATGGGACTGGTTCGCGGACCCATAGGCGCTGGAAGTGGGCGAGGAAACCGCGGTAGGTCAGGGCGGAGGGTCGGTCAGCTCCAGCAGACGAGCAGCCACCGCAGCACCAGCGAAAATGGCAACTGCAGCGTGGAGCCAGAAACTGCGGAGCTGCAGTTGGCCGTTTCGATCCCAAGCCAAACAGCCCAGTGCATGCACAAGACCAAAACGTCATTGCAGTGGTGAGACCTAATTTTCATGAAGCAACTTCCACAGGAAGGTTGAGCCAGCGAGTGCGGGATGCACGTTCACAACTGCGCGCAGAAAGTGAGTACGCACAAAAGGAGCTCTTCGAACTGCCGGGCTAAAAGAGAAGCAGAGCTCAGCCTTGGGCAACGGCTCCCAAAAGCGCAGTCCCCCCATGCTGCCTTAGGCAGCTTCGTTTCCTACCAACCTGATTTGCCCACCCAAGGCGCAGCTCCCGTAACCTCGCTACGAAGCAAGGCCACATGCGTCCGTCTGAGGCCCCTTGCACCTCGGGCAGGTGCCCCATGGGCAGCTTGGCCTGGGGTGCAAGCAAAGCCGGTGGCTGTGAGTTTGAACGAGGCGGTTTGTGGACGTTGTTCAGGTGGGGATTCATGCCCATGGCATATTTGGCGTTGGAAAATGTAGGGCGGGAGCGATAGGAACGGTTTTTCAGGCCTTGCCTTCCTGCATTGCTTTTGCCCTCCAGAAGGAAAGTGAGTTCCAAGCCTCCCAAATTAGATTGCAAGGGGCGGGGAAAACTGCAACCCTGGCGATCTTAAAGAACGCACTTGCAAAACAATCACACTGGGGCCCACGCCGAGCTAGGGTGCAATGACACAAAGTATCTTGCACTTTCATACCTGCGTAGCGCGGAAAAAGCTATTACCAGGACGAAGCCGAATCACCCAACTTGACAACTAAACTTGCTCAAAGAGGATTGAGCTTTATCATACAATTTACTACTAGAAATGAATGGGGGCAAGCCAGTCGACTCTGTGCTTGCATGAAGCGCCTTCACTGGCTGGGGGGTCGACTTTCTGTAATTCTGTGATCTTCTTTCACGCAATCAGCATCTGGCGCATCACTGTTTAATTCGCCAACCCGAATGCAGGAATCCCCACGAAGGGTCCTTGCTCATTGGTTTCCCAGGCAGGTGAGCTCGCTACGATCAGTGCAGACCAGCATGCGCAAGATCGGAAACCGCCGGTCACCAGGCCAGCTGGAGGTTCAGGCATGCAGCGTTCAGCAAGAGCTCTCCCACCTCCACTTGGAGGAGATGTGGGCGTCGGTACCTCACAAATGGCCGTTAAACAATGGGCTGCCGGGGAGCGCGGAGAGCTTATTTGAATGGAAGCAGCTCCCAGGAAGCTGGGATTCTTCCGACGAGTGCCATCCCTGGATTGCCGCAGGCACTTCCGCACATTTTCCAGGCTATGACTCTTATATTCCTCGTGGGCTAGCCAATGCAGCCGATGCAGGTCAAAATTGGCCAACCAGATCCTGAGAGCCAATGACCATGATCTGTGATGCTGCTTGGACCAAGCGGGATTGCCCAACGCTGTGGGAAATGCCCTGCGATCAAACAGGAACAGTTTCGAAAGGCACCATGCATACTGTACGTTTATCGGGCTTCGTTTCGAGCCAAGCCTGCCCATCGTTCTAAACCAAACTCACGCGGATGCCGCGTTCCCTGCCTTTGCGGCTCCTCATGGTCGGCCTCAGCGGACCACCCAGTGTCCGGGCACACATCTGCCGCTTAAAGTTTCCAACATGCACTCTTCCACAAAATCCTTGGATAAGACTTCAATCAACAACACCCGTCCCCATCAGCAAGATGCTCCCAAAGCAGAGTATGCTTCGGGGGCCGGACAGCTTTGGGCCGGACAGCTTTGGGCCTGCTCTGGCGCACCTGCGGGGCGCAAGGAACTTGCAAGAAACGGTGTCTGAAGCATGGGACTGGGCCTATGGCTTGAATTTTCAAGGACGCGCGCGTGCGCACGCGGTGTGATGCCAAGGGAACTGCCCAACAAACAACGTCCACCTTGCAGGCGCAACAAGCAATGATTGCTTCAGGCGACATAATGTCTACCTCTGATTAATACCCCCCCCCCCCGTCAAACAACTTCCCTCCCTAAATAGTGTTCTGAACTTGATTATGAATTGCTAAGTATTGCACACATAGTTATGTGCTTCAATTGATTTAGTATTGTTGGAGCCTCGTTTTGAGATTTGACTTGAGGGATTTGAGTTTCAACTGGTTTAGTATTGCTGTAGCCTCTTCTGAGATTTGACTTGTTGGGATTCCAATTGATTTAGTATTGCTGGTGACACTTCTTTTTTTGGGGGGGGGCAACCAAAAATCTTTATTTAGGAGGGGCCCCTAAATAAGGTTGTTTTCAACCCCCAAGTACTACCCCCCTTGTGGGGTTGATTGGGGGCCACTTTTTAAACAAGCGTATGTAAATAATTTGCAGTTTGGGAGCTGGGATTCTGTTGGGGTTGCAAAAGCTAGATGATTGAAATCATAGGGAGCAAGTTTCAAGGGAAACCTTTTAAAGATTGAGCCTTTTACTGAGAAAGCCTATTCAAACACGAGTTGAGTTTTTTTTTGGGGGGGTGGCAACCAAAAATCTTTATTAAGGGGGAACCTCAAAATAATGTCTTTTTCAACCCCAAGTACTACCCCCCTTGTAGGGTTGATTCGGGGCCACTTTTCAAACAAGAGTATGTAAAGAATTTGCAGTTTGGGAGCTAGTATTTTTTGTAGATCTGAATTTTTAAGGCAGGCGAGGCAGATACTGACCAATCAGACAAGCTGGTGGAAGAGGTTGAGATGATTCTAGCGTGTGTGTGTGTGTGTGTGTGTGTTGTTTGGTGTGTTTTTGTGAGTGTGTGTAGATTCCTCGCCAAAAAAAAACACATAAACATCAACATAACTTTATTTGGGGGGGGGGTTATTAATCAGTGCCGGCGCACAACATAACTTTAATCATATTGCGTCCGCCCAACCTGCCTTGGCAGTCCTGACGCAGTCAGCATCTTGCGGCTGAGCCTTGGAGAAGGCTCCAGGAACATTGAGGAGCGGATTCTGAGGCAAGCCACGCTGTATTTATTTGCAGGGCAGCAACATCGATTTCCAATTCATGACGAAGGCTGCCAACATACTCTGTGCGTGTGGCTGTCTTGCTGCTCATTCTCTTGACTTGATGCTAGCGACTGGGTGTCAAGCTGCAAGAGCCGTCTTGCGCCGATGCTCCAACCTTGGCCCGGCTGGCGCTCCAAGCGGTGAAGGACTCAATAGGCTGATCATGGCTGGCCCTTGGCGCAAACCATTCACGGTCGGCTGCCGATTCCTTTCCTACATGTCCTGCTGCTGCTTCATTCTTGCCCCGCACGGGTTTCCTGAAGCCACATGTGTCACTTCAGCGAGGCGCAGTGCAACTGTGCGCAGTTTACAGGTTTGCTTGCGCGCCTCTTCCAAATTTTAAAGTTGACTCAAACTGGACGAGGGTTTTCTCAAAGTTTGCCGAGCCAGCCACCCACTTCGATTTGGGCCCCAAGCCATTCCGCCGCCTCCTGGGTGGCCCAGGGCCGGCCTGCATGAGCAGGGGAACCCTCCTCCATTTTCTGGACCTTGGGCCAATGGCTGGACAGTGCCTCACAAATCCTGCAATGAGGGAACAAGGAAAACTCTTGCAACAGGGGGTTGTGGTATGCACGTCTCCTGATATGGAGGAGAGGGCACTGCAAGCGGGCGTGCTTCAAAAACCCTGTCCAGGTTTGCTTTCTTACAAAAAACCGATATCTGCAAACAACGCAAATGTTGTTGGACCGTGCACCCTTTTGCCAATGCCGCCCCTATAGTGCGTATCTATCAGTTAGCACTTTTTAGCAGGCGGCACAGTTAGCACATCCCTGGGTTGGCCGGAATGCCCCCGTCAGCCCCGAACAGTTAGCACACACCTGCCACACCCCGAAACCGAAAGGGGCGACCAACAGTTAGCACATGCCTCTCTGGTTGTGGGCAGAGATACGCTTTCTGAAATGAGCAACTTTCGCAATGCAGTACAAGTGTAGTAAAGGAAGTACACTTGGCAGATCCGTCTCAAAAGTCACAACTTTTCAGTACAAGTGTCGTAAAGGAAGTACACTTTGGCAGCTCCGGCTCGAGAGCCGCAACTTTTCAGCACAACTGTAGTACAGGAAGTACGCATTGGCAGCTCCAGCCCGGACGTCTCAACTTTTCCGTACAAGTGTAGTACAGGAAGTACGCATTGGCAGCTCCTGCCCGGAAGTCTCAAGTTTTCACTTCAAGGAAGTATGCTTTGGCAGCTCCGCCTCGAAAGTCGCAACTTTTCAGTACAAGTGTAGTGAAGGAAGTACACTTTGGCAGCTCCGCCTCGAAAGTCACAACTTTTCAGTACAAGCGTAGTAAAGGAAGTACATGTTGGCGGCTCCGGCTCGAAAATCGCAACTTTCCAGTACAAGTGTAGTAAAGGAAGTACACTTTGGCAGGTCGGGCTCAAAAGTCGCAACTTTCCAGTACAAGGAAGTACATTTTGGCGGCTCCGGCTCAAAAATCGCAACTTTCCAGTAGACATGTAGCAAAGGAAGTAGATTTGGCAGATCCGGCTCGAAAGTCCAGTACAGGCGTAGTAAAGGAAGTACACTTCGGCAGCTCCAGCTCAAGAGTCTCAACTTTTCAGCACACGTGTAGTATAGTGCGTATCAATCAGTTAGCACTTTTTTTTTTAGGCAGATAGCACATTACTGTGTTGGCCGGAATGCCCCCGTCACCCCTGAACAGTTAGCACACACCTGCCACACCCTGAAACCCAAAACAGCGGTCAACAGATAGCACATGGGGCTCTCTGGCTTTGGGCAGGCGAACAGGACATCAAAGGGCTACATACGCTTTCTCGAATGTTCATGGAAGCACACGTGTCAAATCTTCACAAAGCGTATATAGAGAAACTTGCAGAACCCAGTGAGCCTATGATGGAGGAAGGGTGTGCGGTCGACTGGCTTACATGGAGCTTGCGTGGATAGGTGATGCTTTACTTGGCCCTAGTACTTTGTTGAACGTTATTATTGTGTTACAGTGTTTTTGAACTTTGGCAGCTCCGGCTCAAAAAACAGCAACTTTGTAGCACAAGTCTAGCTACGCGAAGTACACTTTCGCAGCACACAAGTCCAGCACGCGAAGTGCACTTCCGCAGCTCCAGCTCGAAAATCGCAACTTTGTAGTGCAAGTCTAGTGCGCGAAGTGCACTTCCGCAGCTCCAGCTCGAAAATCGCAACTTTGTGGTACAAGTCTGTGCGCGAAGTACAATTCCGCAGTTTCAGCTCAAAAATCGCAACTTTGCAGTACAAGTCTAGTACGCGAAGCACACTTCCGCAGCTCCAGCTCGAAAATCGCAACTTTGTACTTTGTAGTACAAGTCTAGTACGCGAAGCACACTTCCAAATCGCAACTTTGTAGTGCAACTCTAGTGCGCGAAGCACACTTCCGCAGCTCCAGCTCGAAAATCGCAACTTTGTAGTACAAGTCTAGTACGCGAAGTGCACTTCCGCAGCTCCAGCGCGAAAATCGCAACTTTGTAGCACAAGCCGAGCACGCGCGAAGAGCACAAGTCGCGACTTGCCTTAGCGTTTTACGGCGGCCACGCAAGGGTCCCACCCCAACTAAGCTGCAACTGCAGGGGCTATTGTAGAGCCACGTGTTAACTAACGGTTATCGTTTTTGGGGGAGACCTTATCGTTGTCCGTGGCTTTTTGGAGTCGTAGGCCAAAGTGTACCCCCTTTACCAAAGTGGTCTACACGTGTTTTGTCCGTGGCTCTTTTGTGTCCCACGACTCCCCAGGGTGAAAGACAAGAGCTTGCCAACATACAAATGGATTGCCAGTGCCAAATTCTAGCGCGTTGATGTGGAAATCCAGCAATGCAGCTCCGGCTCGCAAGTCGCAACTTTTCAGTACAAGTGCAGTCAAGGAAATACACTTTGGCAGCTCCGGCTCGAAAGTCGCAACTTTTCAGTACAAGGAAACTTTGGCAGCTCCGGCTCGAAGGTCGCAACTTGTCAGTACAAGTGCAGTAAAGGAAATACACTTTGGCAGCTGCGGCTCGAAAGTCGCAACTTTTCAGTACAAGGAGATACACTTTGGCAGCTCCGGCTCGAAGGTCGCAACTTGTCAGTGCAAGTGTAGTAAAGGAAGTACACTTTGGCAGCTCCGCCTCGAAAGTCACAACTTTTCAGCACATGTGTAGTAAAGGAAACGCACTTTGGCAGCTCCGGCACCAAAGTCGCAACTTTTCAGTACAAGTGTAGTAAAGGAAATACACTTTGGCAGCTCCAGCTCAAAGGTCGCAACTTGTCAGTACAAGTGTAATAGACAAAGTACACTTTGGCAGGCAAACGTACAAACGCTCGGGCTCCCGCTTGGGGCGACACGGATGCCACGCAACAGGTGTCAGCAAAAGGAAGAGCAACCGCGTTCGAGTTTCTGCTCGGGCCGAGCACGGGTGCCGCGCAAGGGCACAAGCAAAGGCAAGCGAAGCCACGCTCGGAATCCCGCTCGGATCCCGCCGGGCCGAACGCGGATGCCACGCAAAGGCGTCAGACCCTCTTGCGGAAGCCATACAGTTAGCGCACGCCAGACGCTCTTGCACCTGGCTTGGCCATGTCAGCCAGCCAGGATGCAACCGCGCTTCTCTTACAGTATTTGCCGTTTCCTGCAACGGCAGCCCAACTGTCTTGATAATTGAATTTGGCTTTGGGATTCACAAACAACGGGCCCCTAAAAGCCTGGCAACTCCACCCCTGAAAGCCTGGCAACTCCAACCCTAAAGCAATGCTTCCTGCGACTTGAAAGGGCGCCCGTAGAATAAAACGACACTATCAAGAAGCTTGCATTGTCTGAGTTTTGCGTCCAAACGCAAACACATGATCGTAGCAAAACAGTTGGGCCACCAAGTTTCGAAGCGAAGCTGACTTGGGCACCGTGCGCAAGCTTTACCCGCAAGACAAAGACAAGTCCATAATCATGAAGAAACACCGTGCCCTGGTTTTACTATTGAAAGCCCACAAGTTTTGCCGGGGCCGCGCCCGCAAACAGGCTTGGGATCCTGCTCGGGCCGAGCACAGACGCCGCGCAAAGGCGCTGGTAAGAACCAAAGCAAAGCAGACACGCTCGGGATCCCGCTCGGGCCAAACACGTGCGCCGTGCCAAGGTGCAGGTAAGGACCAACGCAGCCACGCTCGGGAGTCCACTCAGGCCAACTATGGATGCAGCGCGCAGGCGTAGCCCGCTCGTCGGCTTGAGCACGGGTGCCACGCAACGGCAAGAGCAAAGGCAAGCGAAGCCAATCCCGCTCGGGATCCCGCTCGGGGCTGCCACGCAGAGGTGTCACTTGCGGAAGCCATACAGTTAGCGCACGCCAGATTCTCTTGCGCCTCGTTTGGCCGTGTCAGCCAGGACTCTTCGCATTACGCTTGCCAACGCGCTTCTCCTACAGTACTCGCCGCTTCCTGCAACTGCAGCCCAGCTGTCTTGATAATTGAATTCGGCTTTCGGAAATACAAAGAACGGGCAGCCTTAACTCCACCCCTAAAAGCCTGACAACTCCACCCTTAAAGCAATGCTTCCTGCGACTTGAAAGGGCGCCCGTAGCAAAAATACACGACATTATCAAGAAGCTCGCATTGTCGGAGTGTTGCACCATGTTGCATCCAAATGCAAATGCATTATCGTAGCGGAACAGTTTGGGCATCAAGTCCAGAACTCAAGCTGGGCTAGGACACTGTGTAACAGCCTTACCAGCAAGAAAACGACAAGTCCATAATCCTGACGAAACACCGTGCTCTGGTTTCACTCTTGAAAGCCCACAAATACGCTCGAAGTTTTGCCGGAACCGCGCCCGCAAACAGGCTTGAGGCCCCGCCCGGGCCGAGCACAGACGCCGCGCAAGGCGCTGGTAACGCGCAGGCGGCTGAAAGGACCAAAACGGCCAGGCTCGCTAGCCCGCTCGGGATCCCGCTCGGGCCGAGCACGGATGCCGCGCGAAGCACCGCTCGGGATTTCCGGGGCGAGCGCGGATGCCACGCAAAGGCAGACCCTCTTGCGGAAGCCATACTGTTAGCACACGCCAGACCCTCTTGCGCCTCGTTTGGCCGTGTCAGCCAGGGCTCTTTGCATTACGCCTGCCAGCCCGCTTCTCTACTGCAATAGCTGTCTTGACAATTGACTTTGGCTTTGGGATTCACAAACAACGGGCCCCTATAAAAGCCTGGCAATTCCACCCCTAAAGCAAAGCTTCTTGCGACTTGAAAGGACGCCTGCAGCAAACATCAACGACATCATCAAGAAGCCCGCGTTGTCCGAGTGTTGCATCATGTTGCATCCAAACGCAAACGCATTATCGCAGCGGACAGTTGGGCCTGTGTAAAAGCTTTACCCGCAAGAAAACGACAAGTCCATAATCCTGAAGAAGCACCATGCTCTGATTTTACTCTTCAAAGCCCACAAATACGCTCGAAGTTTTGCCGGGGCCGCGCAACAGGCTTGGGATCCCGCTCGGGCCAAACAGGCTTGGGATCCCGCTCGGGCCAAACCCGTGCCAAGGCGCAGATAAG